GATTTCTGCCTCAAGCTATAAATCATTAAGGCCTCTAACTTTCAAACAGTGCATCACAAATTGGCTTTCCGGTTTATAAAAATCATCCCAATGTGCCTCAGCACTGTTTTCTTTCAAGAAAGCCTACAGAGAGCCAGCTGTCTGAGCTGGTTGTGTTGCTATGTAAGATTTGTGCATAAGTGTCTCTCTGGGAGTTTTGTTTTGCTTCTATCATTTAATATTCATGACAATCACCATTAACCTGCCAGCTGAGCTATCTTAGCATCCTGCCTCCAGACAAAGTCAAAAGTTTATTCCTAGCCCACACAGCTCCACATTACTATTTTGGCTTGCGATCCTTATGTTTAAACTAACAGGATGAATAAAAAAAAACCCAGAAAAACTTGTAGGGAAAAGATAGAGCAAGAACGTGAGGGTGTTCAGTACTCCTAGTTAGTGACAGCATGGTTAAGCAATTAATCTGATCATTCCAGCCCATACACCCAGGCTTTGGGAAAGCTGACAATTCAGATGCGTCCATTAATGATAAAATGTGATGGGGAAAAAGGGGAGGGGGAAAATCCTTGCTTTTAAGCTGTATGGAGTAAACTGCCACCTTAAAATTGCTCACACCCCACCGCATATCTGTCAAAATAATATACAAATATTGCAGTAGTAAATAAGTTAAATGCCACTAAGAAGAAATATATTCATGCTAAAAGCGGATTCTGTGATTACATTATTATTTTAATATTCTTTTTCATCAAGAATGTCAGAATAATCAAAAGATGATTAACACTCGAAACAATTCAACTACACAAAATGTGGAGAAGTCCAAGGGATGCTAAGTTTCAGCTTTCCCAGTCAGACAGAAAAAAATATACAGTAGGCCTCCATCCTGCCAATGTGGAGCAAACTGAACAGACCCCCACCATCGAGAGAGAGGTAGTAGAAATCTTCATGTTGACAGCCACAGCACACTAAGAGAAGACCAGAGCCAGCCCAGCTGTGTGGTTGGTTTCTGCCTCATTATTTCAGACTAGTGAAGTGGGGAAAGAAGAAATACATGCTTTAGAGTGAACTGTTGGGAATTAAGTGTTGTTTTATGTTGTACATAGTGACTAGAAGAAATATATATTGAATTATATTTCTCCCTTTAAGCTCCTGTGATGTTTTTTATTCAGCTGCAGTTGAATGGGTGGAAAGAGGGAGAGGTTTACTTGTTGCTTTAAGGAATGTTTTCTCTTGTTGTACACTACACCCTGCAAAGGAGCATCAGGGATGGATTTGTCAAAACACAGCGACTGAAGGAATTAAGAGTTCACTCTTAACACTACAACATCTCATTATCTTTGCAAAGGAGTCCCACATTTTCCAGAGGGAAGCATTCCGGGGATGTTATTAGTAACAATGTACTTCTAGAATTACCTTTCAAAAGTAATGATTTTTATAAAAGTTGCCACGTAAAACTTCAGATAACAGATTTCTGAAACATGCCAGTGGATAAATAACTTTATGAATGTTTCTTCCCCACCGACAAAGAATTTAGGTGATTTAAGGAATGTGAAATACAAATATCTAACATGATCAACAGCTGTCTACACATAAAATGAAATTACCAAAACCTAGAACAGAAAGGAAGAGTAGAGCAAGGGCTTCTTAGTTTGTACCTAATGGGCATCCTAAATGGGGATGCAATACTGTGAACTAAACCACAGTTCCACAGTGGAACCAGCTCAGTCCTGATGGGAAGAGCCCCAGCAGCTTCCACCAGACTCTTCCTGTGCTATAAACCAGCATTGCTCAGTCTTGTTTCAGCCTCCTGCTACCTTCTGTAAAACCGACTCTACTGCATTTAGACTTAGGTTTAAGGCTCTGGAAGCAAAAAGTCCACCAGGACTCAAAGCCTGTTAAGAAACCCTAACAGAAAGACCCAGTGTTCTAGCATGTCTTTTCATACTGCCCATGCCCTTTCATAAGCACGATTCTGTGAGCTGGCTAATAAAGACAAGGTTTTTCTGCACTTCTGAGGGGGGGAAAGAGCTCTTATTCTAAGTATGACCATTATGAGGCATATAAATATTATCGTGTTTATGCAGAAAAATAATTATTTTATATTTTTAGTAAAAGCTGTTTATCAATATTGTTAGATGCCTTAACACTATTAAAACTAAAATCAAGGTGGGGAGGGAAGCAGCAAAAATGAAGGATAAGCATGTCCTACTGCACACCAAATAGCAACTCAATACAAGAAAAAAAAAATTTCTCAGACTTCTTTATGGAAGCCACTTTTTGAAAGATTTTATCTTCTTCAAATCCAGCCATAACTATGGCTTTATGACAATGTGGCATAACTGTTGCATTTTCAAAGTAACAGTGTGTTCCCATTAGACTGTTTCTGATCTCCCTATAGCCACAAGCTACACTTAATATTGTTTATTTTCTGTAATTTGTGAGATCATGTTTTACCCTCAAGTACATTTCATGTAAATATTGCTCTACCCACTGCTGATTTAAAACAGCTAAAGGAAGTAGGAACAGGACAGCAAAGTATGCAGTAATAGGCAACAGGCCTGCAGAGAAAGTTTAAAGAAAATTTCAGTTCAGAGAGCAGCTCTCTCTGAATAAGCAGAAATCACCTACAGGCAATTTTCCTTGTTTTTAGAAGCCTCTTAACTTTGATATTTATAAAACTCTTAAGCTGTTCCTTTGGAAACAACCATAGCAAATGCTCCTTCAGGTGGTTATGAAGCATGGGTATTTTTCTCTAGAAAGCTTCTTTAGAAGTAATGAAAAAAAAGAAATTAAGAAATTTAGTTCTTGCAAATATCTCATCAAGGCAGCTGAAAGAGCAATCAAAGTTTGCTTCACATTTCAGTCCACATTTTCCAGGAATTTCCCACTAGGAAACTTTATTAAATGTAATAGTAAATTTAATTTAGAAAGCATGCTGTTTTCACTGTATTTTTTTTCCTCAAATGTTTTCCTAGACTGATGCTTTCATAGCAGGTTTTTCTTTTTTTTGCTTTGTTTCTATGCAACTTGAAATCATAAACCAACTTTCAACCAGTGTACATCAGAGAAATACAGAGCTCCAACTGAGCCATGCTGATTTTCACTATTTTAAAATCCAGTCCTTCCTCCTTTCCCTGGACCACAATAACCTCCTACACTATCAAATTCAATGTTTTCTATGGTGCTCAAAAGCCTATATATTTTACATCATTTAGATTAAGCACCAAAAAAGGACCTCTCTAATTATTAACATCATTACGGATCCACTTCTCTTCCAGAATTCTAGGATTAAACGGGTGCTTGCTTTTGGCTAAAAACACACTAGAATTTCAAAGCTCTGTGCTGCACTGCACATGTATATTATTATCCCTTTCCCTTCATGTCTCCTTTTGAAGAATTTTAAGACATCCACACTACTGGGAGTTTTGGCAAATGTTGTTGCAAGATACACTATAGGATAACTAATGATGAACTCTGAAGCAATTGCTAAATCTAGCTAAAAGCTGTAGAAACAAACTATATGTTTTGATGATGTTTGTTCATGATTTTGCTGGAGTAAAAAACCAACATCATCCCCCCCCCCCAATTCAAATTAAACCTTCTTTTCTAATTGCATGCTAATTTACATAATCAAATAACTCTCCAGGGGTTTCACTGCCAGTCTAAGATAACAACCATGCAATCTGGCTCTTGCACTAAGTAACCACTTCTGATTATTGTTTTTATACATAATCAGGATTAGGCAAAGATCTTTCTCAATACTAACCCAGAAAACCGAAAACCCAGAAGGAGTAAAGGCCTTTAAATATTCAGTATAGCAAAATGCAGATTTATCTTCCCTAGACTTTAAGAACATGGCAATGAGCACCTCCCCTGTGTAAGGTTTAGTTTAGACTGTTAAACAACACTTCTGATATTCTTTAAATTTCACTGTCTGAGATAAGAGAGACCAAAAGTTCTTGAAAAACCAAATGCCATTTAGGTCTTTTAAAAGGAAGTGGAGCTCAAAAGAACTGACAACAGCACATTTAAAAATACGGTAATAGGTTGGTTCCTAAACCTGCCCTTTACAAAGAAGTGGGAGGCACACTTTCCCTGACTGCTTTCCTGGGCAGCCTCAGAGAAAACCGACAGGAAACAGAGTGGAATGAAATTGGTTTGTTGTCCTAGAGAAGAAAATGGTTTTGAAATATAGCTGTGGCAAACAGAGGATACAGATAAATAGGTATTTGCCTCCCAAGCACCAGCCACAGGACAGGTAAATTAAAAAAATAAAAAATCTAAGCTATGTGGGTGCAAACACAAAAGTATGTGCATATAGCTTTAGCAAAATGGTGTGGCCCAGTCAGAAATGTTACATATGCAGGAAAGAAAACACCTCAAACCAGTGAAGCACTTTGTAGAATGATCCTGAATTCCCACAAAGGGAGAAAAAAGGGAGCGAGAGTTTTCTGAGTGCAGCCCTGATTGAAAAGAGAGGCTTGGGCTACTGCCAAAGGAGCTGTTTCCTATTGTCTTTTTTCCTGCTACATTCAGGAAAACAGGACCTCAGTTTAATCCTACTTTGATTACAAAGAATGTACACAAAGATATATCACTTCATATAAACATTTTTGACATAAATAAACTAGAGGATCTCAAATATTGGCCAGCAACTAAAGTAAAAAGTTATGTAACTTCTTTCATATATACAGAAGAAAAATATACAGGAAAAAAAATACACCAGAATTCTGAAATATATCAGACTTTTAGGATTCAGAATTTGTTAAATAAGTTGTTTTTTAACTTAAAGAATTAAACATATAATATGAATATAAGGAAGCATACCATTTCACAATATACAGATGAAACTTTCTAAAAAGGTGTGGGGAATTGAAGAATAGAAAAAAATTATCTAGTCATCATGTTACCTTGAAACCTAAAGATCTCTATTATATTCCTCCCTCACCCCAAATTCCTGTATTAGCCAAGCTAAATCACTGAAACACAAAATTCTCAACACTCACCTTCACAGGTCCTTCTGAAATCACTGCCTGGGGCATGACTCTGTTCTCCTCTGTATTTCACAACACCAAAACCTGTGTGCTATGAAGAAGTACCACAGCTCTTTGATTCTACACAAGTCAGAGACCTTGAAGTTCTTAATCTCAAAAGGATTTTTTAAGCATTTTCCTGCATTCATTTATTTTTGATGCCTCAAACAAACATGAGCTGATAATGTGCATACAGAAAGGTTTCCACTGCTTAAGCAGCATAGCATTTGAGCAAAACAAAGGCCCGGACCTGTACCCTCAACTCACACTCCTAATGCCTACTTTTCCACAACAGGATTTCATGGGAAGTTTTAAACATATGTCTCTCTCTAATCTGCTTCAGAACAGAGAATTAAATAGCAGGTGCAGACTTTTCCAGAAAAGGGAAATCTAGTTTTTGTTTATCTGAAGTTACTCCTAACTTCAACTGACCTGAGCTGGAAACCCCTGTCAGGAACAAAGGAAGTGTTCATGGTGCATTTTCACTATCCAGCCTAACACAGTATTTGCTTACACATCATAACCATTAAGAAAGGCAGTACTGATTTTAACTTGTTTTCTCAAATAATACTCAGTTATTGGCAGTAGGATTAGTACAGTGATACAGAGCACAACTGAGAAGAATGGGCTGGTAAAAAGTGCCCTTGTAAAGGAACAAAAATGCATTTCCCATCTGTTAATCTTGCTTATATCTCATAGTCTCTCATGTTGAGAGTTGGACTGGTGTGTGATATCACTGCAGTCAGTTGGGCAGCAGTGAACAGCTGGCTTTCCACACTGACCCATTTATCTTTCCGTGATGTAGGCTGTTCACTCCGAAAGGCTGGTCCTTGTTCAGGAAAGCAGAACAAGAGAGACATCCAGCGGCTGCATCACTTAACTCTGCTTTTAAACATGACTAGAGACAAACTGAACCACCTTCTTTACTAGTCCATGAGCTTGCATGTATAAAAAATCCATTTATTACCCAACTCCCAGAACTAGAGAAAAAAATATTCCAATGGCTGAAGCACTACTGTCATCTCTGCTATGTATTCTTCCTGCAACCTACACACTTCCTCACTGCATACTCCAAGTCCCATCCATAGTTCTCCCTTTTTCTCTGAAGCTTAATTTTATTATTTTGTTTCTGAACTCCACTTGCAAATGGGTCTATTAACTTCCATGAAGCTGTACTGGTCTGGGTCAGCCCAGAATCTCATTCCAATCCTTTGCCACTCCAACATGTACTTTTCACATGTACTATCTTCTGTTCAAATATTTTCCTTAACCTTAAGTCTATTTGTATTACTTATTTTTATCTGCATAGTAAATAGAGTTCCCAGTCAATACTGATACAAAATTCCAGAAAATGAGTTGTAAATCCCAGTAGAAGTGGTTTGATCTTCATGTAAGAGCAGAGAGAAACAGTTTGTTAAATCTACTAAAATAAATTAGTAGTATCTACATTATTTGTTATAAGAAAATTCCATGTTTTTCATATAAACAAACTATTTCTTGTATATAAAAAGACAGCTTATTTGGGAACGTAAATCAGCACAAAAGGGCTTATAAACTTAAAAATCTGAAGACAGGATGGGGAAATATAAGGGAAACATGAGGATAATTTGTTTTACAAAGTATTAGCAATATTAATTTAGAAGTAATTTAATTGAAGAAATGGACTTTGTCACTTCTACATGATAAGTAATTAATTTTTAAAGGGCTTGACCCTTACAAACTTAGAAGATCTAAATGAAAAGTTCTGGTAATGGATTAGGGAATGGGTGAAATCTTCCATATTTAGTGAAGAGTTGAAGGCAGGCAATTGCTGACTTCACTTACAGCAGTGCAGGATGAGGTGTTAGGAATACACTTAAGGGATGAATTTCCCAGCTTCTGAAGAGAAAACTCTATCCAGTCAATAGGGTCAAATCAGGTAATGTAATGAACCAAAATTAGCAGGATATGCTACTTGGGAAAAAACTGACATACCCATACTCAGTATGAGAAGGAATTTGGTTCCCTTTTTAAAACAAATATGTATGGAAAAGCCATCACACGTAAGCCAAACAACCTATCAAGCTGTGATACAGTTATTCCTTATTAAAAAAAGCAAAAAAAAAGCCCTATAAGCAAAAAGACAACAGCAAAAAAACCAAACACACCCACCCAACCAACCAAAAAAACCAAAACACAATAACAAACCAGAAGGCTCAAGTCGTGGACTGTGCACTTTGCTGAAATATTGCACTCTACTGTGCACCGTCTTGCAAGGGTTTTTTAACTGTGATGCCATATAAACACCTGCCCTCCTCCCATTTCCCCAATAAGAAAAAAGTAATAAATAGATATACAGAATAACTGTTTTTCAATCTGAAATACTTTTAAAAGAGGATGTACCTTGGCCTTGCTGTAAGGCCGAGTTGTTCATGCTGTCTCACCTTAGGGATGCATCTGAGTATTCATGTGGCACATCCCAATCAGCAAATCCCCCTCCCTCAGGCACCTGGGAATAGCTAATGAGGAGCTTATGTTTTCCCTGCTGACCCTGTACAGGAGGGCTGTTTGGTTTCAATATTGTGCCCTGTGTTTGTCAGTGATCAAACAATAACAGCTGTTGGTGAACTTTATCCACAATTCACTCATGCAAGTGGAGGTCCATGGCTCCAACCTGGGATGAACAGCTTCATCTCAAGCCTCAGCAGCAAGTCAATTGTCAGCAAGCCTCACTCTTTGGCCAGTCTGGGGAGGGATAACTCCAGGGCCTCGGGTGGTGGTGTACCACTGCAGAATCCCAGATGTGCATGTCTCAAACTCTGCTAGCTGGATGGCTGTGGAGCCAATCAAGGACTGTTGGCAATAACAGACAAGAATTGTTGGTAATAACCAAGGCCTGCTGGTTTTAACATGCCATGAGAACGAACAAGATGGGGCTCGTGAAGGGGGACCATGCGGAGATTGGGCAGCAATTTCCTGGGACAAACATCCTGAAGGTAAGTACAACACAGTACAGCACAAGTGCAGCAATGAGGCCAAGAAGTAGATGAGGGTTGTAGTGGGAGATTAAGACCACTAAAGATCCCTGAAGCCCTCCAACCCATTTCCAGAAAGGCCCGAAAGAACGGACTGTGCATGATAACTAATTTGCATAGAAAATGAGAAACATGTCAATAAAAAGATACCCCCACCAAGCCTGGACTGCACTCCCCAGGACACCCCATCAGCTGGAACAATGCAGCTGGACCAATGCTGAAACCAGGACAGATCCAGCTGACATCCCATCAGCTGGGTCAATATTAGAACCAGGACTGGTGATCTGTTTTTCTTTCTCTTTTCCTCTTTAGCTCATCTCTTCCTTTCTCTCTTCCTCTCACTTTACCCCTTTATCCAAATCCCACTGCCATGTGCTTTTATACTAGGTCAGAGAAGACTGACATACCAATTTCCATGCCAAGTGTGCAATTTACTAATAAAACTTCCTGATTGCTTGTGAACCCTCTGACTTTCGCTGTTCCTTTTGACCACAAGCATTTATGAATCTCAGGTGCTTCCTTCCCCTTAAGGGTGGGTCATCACAACCACACAGGTGGTGAACCATACGTGTACTAAGGTCTAAGCAACACTTTGGTGTCTTAAAACCCTGCACGTCAGTGAGCTGTTACATACAAAGCAAGCCACCCCTGCAAACAGCTGTTTAGTACAGGGCACAGGCACAGAATAATGTGGTTTGTCTGACGAGTCACAGAACTTGCATTCCTGCTATTTCCTCCACAACAAATCCTTCACAAATGCCTTTAGAGCAATACTTTGTAACACAGTGAGCTACAGGCCACCCCACATACATCTGCCACCCCTCCAGTTAACTTTGATAAGTGTTAAATTCACTATCCAATTGTTGAACTCAAACGACCTATGCTGAGGATTTGCCCACCTGCCAAGTCCCGAAGAGTGGCCTCTGAAAACAGAGAGACAAAAACTGAGACACCTTTTCATCTGTCTATACTAATGAAAATCATTAAGTCTTATCTATTTGCTGTACTCCGGAGATCTAAAGTCCTTCAGATTACCGCTCCATTGTGGGAAAAAGTGACACTGGCTGGAGACTTGTTTCTTATGAACTTCTTTATTTCCACACTGATCCCTTTGAAGGAGTGCAGAAAAAAGCATGTGAATTTTCTTCTATCAGAAGAGTTAATTATCAACAGGGTAACTGGTGGAGTTTTCACCTGTACATCGTCACAGTTACATGGATACCAGACAATAACGAAATTATTATTACTTTCTAGTTATCTTGAAAGAATTATGTTTTTTTTAAATTTAAAGGTTAGATTAACAACTGATTAAGACTAATTAATCAATTATTTCATAATTTTGGTCTAAACATGTTAAAATACATACTCTAATATGCCTACACAAAAAGTATAGTAAATATTTTTCCTTAGTCTATATCTGCTTTGGAGTCTGTGGTAAGAATTCACTGGAAAAAAAAATTAACTTAAAAATAATCACTTAAAAATGGTGATCTACATATGGCATGACGTCTCCCTGATTTTGTGCAAGTGTTTAAAAATTCCAACTCCAGAGATGGGATTCCCTGAAAGAACCTGGGTCCTATTCTAATAGGTAATGTATGACTGGTTTTTACACCGCATATGCTTTGCACTGAGGATTTTGTATCAATCAACAACCCTAAGACACTGTGATAAAGTAGCTATTATTGTCACTCCATTCTCCACATAGAAAGTGGTAGGAAAAAACTACACCTAAAGTTTCATCAACACTTTACAGTTGAAGTGCAGCAGTAACTCAAATCCCTTAACTTGATGTTTTGTACTTTTCCAACAAATATTCCTCCATTTGAGTTCAAGGAAAAATACAAAAGAATGGCTGAGGCAGCCAACCAAAACTTAAAAGTAAACGTAAAACTGAATTATGTTATCAAAGTCCCACTATTACAAGTCTCATCAGCTTTGTTACGAAGTTCCTCTGTTAAGAACTTATCACAGAATCATACAATAGTTTGGAAAGGGATCTTACAGATCATTGAGTTCCAATCTCCCTGCCATGGGCAG